TTATACAACGTTTAATTTGAGTCCAAGTAGTTTGAGAAAAATATGGAGAAGGTGGAAAGTTAATGGTATCCAAAATTTTTTAGTTTTTAAATATTAATTTCGGGATGATGTTAAGAATTTAAAGAAACTACGCAAATCCTTACCATATCTAAAATTCATCAAAAACATCTGCTTAAAAAAAGAAATAATAAATGAACTTAAAGAAGTTTAACGAAGAAAGTTTGAGAGCACTATATTAGCAACCAAAAAAGAAAGAGAAGAATGCAATTTCAATACAAATAGAAACCTTGCCTATTGATATCCCCAGTCATGTAAACAGGAATTCTAACTTTAAAAGCCTACTTTTCAGACATTCAATTAATCTTCAACAATATTGTTATTTTTAAACACCAGTATTTTTATTCTTTCTTATAGGTGAAGTATGAACGAGAAGAACCCAGAGGCGGGCCTTGCGCTTTCCTTTATAAATCTACGATATCCAGTGTCAACCAGCTTGAAGGAGGAAAAATTTCAGATTAGGATTTAGAAAACCAAAGTATTCTTGGCCGAAGCGAATCACACCCACAAAATTCGGAGGGGAAGCAAGGGACGGAAAACAAAATTCAATCTTTGGGAAGTTTCCTTTTGTAAACCCAGGAGAGGGACAATTAAGATCTGCGAACACCCTGTTACCGGCAGCCAGTTTTCAAAAGCTTTTCCTCTCCCCAGTGTCCCCGGAAGTTTTAGAAATAATTTAGAAACACCAGAAGATATTAAAGAGAAGTATGTTGCTGTGTAGTGCGGTTGAAGTGCTGTGAAGTGCTGGTCAGTGTGTAATTCTAAAGGTAATTCAAAGCAAAAAAATGATAGTTTTTAATTTTTGATAATTTTTTAGTTTTAGTGAAGTGAAGTGTTGAAGTTGAAGTGAAGTGCGACTGGTGTGAACGCTGATCAATGACTTTTTAACATTGGCCCCGCTTTTTCTTTCGTCTGTACTGTATTTGACGGTATTATTATTATTATTATTATTATTAGTAGTAAGTAGTAGTAGTAGTAGTATAGTTAGTAGTATTGTTATTATATCATTATTAATATTATTATTAATGTAAGTGTTTGTAATTTTTTTTTTTGCAATTATTGCCATTAACTGCCACCGGGTCATACCCAATTGCAGTTCTAATAAATGTATGTTATAATCATACGTTATATGTTATATCAATACGTTACAATTCATACACTTAGGTGACAAAAGTCATGGGATACCTCCTAATATCGTGTCCGGCGAAGTGCAACAACTCGACGTGGCATGGATTTAACAAGTCGATTGAGGTTCCCTGCAAAAATGTTGAGCCATGCTGCCTCTAGTTCAGCCATGTTGCAGGTGCAGGATTTTGTGCACGAAGTGATCTCCCGATTATATCTCATAAATATTCCATGGGGTTCGTGTCGAGCGATTTGAGTGGCCAAATCATTCGTTTGAATTGCCCAAAACATTTTTCAAACAATTGTAGTCCGAAGACATGATACATTGTCAACCAACAAACGTTTATCGCTGTTTGGGAACATAAAGTCCATGAATGGCTGTAAATGCTCTCCAAGTAGCTGAACATAACCATTTACCGTCAAAGATCGGTTCAGATGGACCAGAGGATCCAGTCCATTCCATTCCCCAAAACAACCATACCATTATGGAGCCACCACCAGATTTCACAGTGCCTTGTTGACAACTTGGATTCGTGGTTTCCTGGGGTCCATGTGGAGAGGTTATGTCTAATAATTCTGATATTAGGTATTCTCGGACCACTCTCGACCCTATGGATCTTAGAATATTGAATTCCCTAACGATTTCTGGAATGTCTCATGTGTCTACCTCCAAATCTTTAGAATCAATCCGCGTTCAAAGTCTGTAAATTCCCGTCGAGCGCTCATAATCACGTCAGAAACCTTTTCAAATGAATCACTTGAGTACAAATGAAGGCTCTGCCATATTACTGTTATTTTAACTTTCTCGCTACGAGGTAGAGAAAAAATATGTAATGCTGCGCGAAAAAAACGTATTTTTTTGTCAAAAATCTCATATTAGAAGGCCTTAGTAACAAAAAAGATGCTAAAATTAGAAAAGATCCTCGAACACGTGGTGTAGCCAGAATTTATGTTTTGTGGGTCCTTGATACCGAAAAATTGAATGACGGCAAAACGTCTGTCTCTCCGCCCGTCAGCCCATTCATCTGTGTACGTCCGTCTGTGAACAACGCTAGCGGCTAAACAACTCAGCCGATTTTCTCCAGAATTAATATTCCCCATTAATATTGCAGATGTCGCGGTCCCTTGAATTTACAATCGATATTTTATTTTGGGGGCTACTTTACATGAAGCCCCCGAGACATTATCAAAATTTTCAAAAAAATGGCTCCACCGCTTTTGATTACACTTTGTTGTTGGATAGTGTGAAGGACGTTTAAAAGATTGATGTTTATCTTATGTTCGAGGACAACCCTTATTTTTTGAAAATTGCAAAAGTTCAAAATTTTTTCAGGGTTTTCCTACAATTAAAGTAATAAAGATAAATATTTTCCCCTGAATTATATCTGTTTCTTAAAGATAGCTTTGGAAATAAGATCATATACAATTTTTCGAAAATGTTAGTACTTTTCGCGACATTTTGAGTGAAAATATGGCCGAGAAAGTGCATGCTGTTTTCTATATTTAGTAGACGATACTACTGCCATATTTGCATAGTGATATCGCTTTATGGTACGGCCGTAGTTCCAAAAGAACTTGCGACAGGAAGAGTTGTGACAAGATTTTTAAAATTTTTTATTATTTAATTTTAATTCTTAATAAAATATGTTCTCCGGTTGTAATTGTTGCGGTCTGTGAGAAACTGAATTTTTCGCCTGATAGGGTTTCTAGCCCATATGCAGGTTAGTTTGGTGATGGGTATGCCATCTCGCTGCCTCCAAACTTGCAAGGCAATTTTTCGGGATGCTCGCCCTAGATGCATTGCCTCCCACGGCTTTTGAGTTGCATATACCCAGGACGTCTTCACCATCTTTTCCACGCTAACGATGTTCATGCACGGTTCTTCTAGCAATTTCTTCTCGAAATCCTCTTCTTGGCGTTGAGGTCCTCTTCTAGAGTACTTTTTCGTTTCACCCCTATCCCTTGACCTGTCCGGCAAGGGAGGCCCTACCAGTAGCTACGCTACCGCCGGCATAGCTCTCGGAGTCATGGGGGTACTCAAGCTCCGCCACCAGCAACAAGGTCCTGTACTCCCCCTGCAGCGGAAATGAGATTCCTTAGAGCGGTAGCGGGATATAGCCTTTTAGACAGACAAAGAAACACACAAATCCAAAACGAGCTAAATGTAGAAAGTCTTAAAGAGAAAGTCACCAACTACAGACTCTCATGGCAAGATCACATGTTGCGAATGAACGACAGAATTCCTAAACAAGTGGCAAATTATCAGCCGAGAGGAAAATGGAATGAAGGACGTCCAAGAATGCGCTGGAGGGGCCAAAATTAAGCGGCGTAACAGTCATTATGCCTAAATACTTGAAGATAAGAAGAAGAAGAAGAAGAAGAAGAAGAAGAAGAAGAAAATGTGTTTTACTTACTACATCCAAGGATAAAAGAACCAGACAGCTATGTGTGTTAACTTTAATTTTATTTAGAACTTGCGTAGTAGGCATTTTAAACATACGAAAATATTTTTAAAACAGTTTAAAGACTTTTGTCACCTAAGCATACAATCCTCATAAAGTATTCGATAAAACAGCATACTTCCTAACGCCCGTCACTGACCCTTCCCTTCCACTTCTCGAGACGTCTCGTTCTCCTGATGGGAGCTGATGATTTGTTTTCGGATTCGTCCAGAAGGCCCTAAGAAATTTCTCCAAAAACGTGTTATCTGCGTGTTTTGGTGCTGCCATCTAGCAGCCACCGCGCAAAAACCACCTCGTTCGCCGTCACTTGTATTTTTTATGTCTGCTAAATGTGAGGCCCATGCTACCCAGACAATGATTGATAGAGGGCCCTAGAGATTTATCACCCGTATAGCCCAGGGATTAAATTACTCGCAAGAAATTTACCGTTTGACAGAATAATTTTATGTGTACCATATGAGATAGGACTAAAGGGAGAATTTAAATTACAAAATTATCCTAATATAAATCTATAAGAATGAAACGATGTAATGTAGAATATAAGCTTGCAAATAAGTTTTCTGTAACAAGTCACATCATAATACACTGAAAGAATGAACTCTTCAGAATAAATCGTCTGGGGACGTTCGAATTAGGTTCTCCATCATCTTATTTTGGGGAGGATAGCGACCGTAGCCTCAAAAGAACTTCCAACAAGAAGAGTTGCGACTAGATTATATATTTTTTTATTATTTAGTATTAAATTTTAATCATTTTTACTTACTACACCTGAAGATGAAAGAACCCGACAGCAATTAATGTTAAGTTTCATTTTATATAGAACATTTTAACTCATGAAAATATTTTTAAAGCGTCGGAGACCCCACATTAAACTACTACGTAGTAACTATTTTGCAAATTCCTTTTGTTTTATCGCTAATTACGTAGTCTCGGACGATTGAAGCCATGCTTTTCAAGATTCCTTCTGTAGGAATTGTGAACTCTCTGAGCTTAAAAACGCAGAGCGTCACTGACCTTAACTAATACATCACTATATATATATGTGTGTATATATATATATATATATATATATATATATATATATATATATATATATACACTATGAAAACTAGCGGTTTTTGACGATTACGCTTTCGGTTCGATGCCTTATATTCAAATGTTCCCCCCTGTCTGAGACGAACGCGGTCTGTGGTGTTGCAGGCTACGGCCACCTGTCGCCGTCCACGACGACGGGCCGCGCCATCACCATCGTGTACGCCATCTTCGGCATCCCGCTGTTCCTCATCCTGCTGGCGGACTTCGGCAAGCTGTTCACGCGCGGCATCAAGTTCCTGTGGGCGTTCGTGCGGCGCCTCTACTTCACCGGCAGCTGCCGCAAGGTGCGGCGGACCGGCCCCGTGCAGGTACGCCCAGCGCTTGTCTTCGGCGACAAATGTTACAAACTTCTATGGGATACGTAGAAGAGCTCTATACGCGTTGTGTGTTTGCCAACATTATAAAAAATTTCTTATGGCTCCAAAAATCGTACAAAAACCGGAGGATTTTGAAACTACTTGTCTTCGGCGTGTCACAGAACAAGTGTTACAAACTTTTATGGGATATGTATAAAAGTCGATAATCACGTTTTTTGTTTACCAACATTATAAAAAATCTTTTATGGCTCCGAAAATACTACAGAAACTGGAGGATTACGAAACTACTTGTCTTCAGCGTGTCTCAGAACAAGTGTTACAAACTTCTATGGGATATGTAGAAGAGCTCTATACGCGTTGTGTGTTTGCCAACATTATAAAAAATGTCTTATGGCTCCGAAACTCGTTCAGAAACTAGAGGATTATGAAACTACGTGTCTTCGGCAAAAAATGTTACAAACTTCTATGGGATATGTAGAAGAGCTCTATATACGTTTTGTGTTTGCCAACATTATAAAAAAATTCTTATGGCTCCGAAAATACTACAGAAACTGGAGGATTGTGAAACTACTTGTCTTCGGCGTGTCTCAGAACAAATGTTACACACTTCTATGCGATATATAGAAGAGTCGATAATAACGTATTTTGTTTACCAACATTATAAAAAATTTCTTATGTCACTGAAAATCGTACAGAAACTGGAGGATTATGAAACTGTCTTCAGCGTGGCTCAGAACATGTGTTACAAACTTCTATAGGAAATGTATAAAAGTCGATAATCGATTATCACGTTTTTTGTTTACTAACATTATAAAAAATATCTTACGGCTCCGAAAATACTACAGAAACTGGATTGTGAAACTACTTATTTGTCTTTGGTGTATCTCAGAACAAATGTTACATCCTCCTAGAATATGAAGAAGAGTCGATAATCAAGTTTCTTTACCAGCATTATAAAAATCTGTTATAGCACCAAAAACCGTACAGGAAGTGGAACGCGCCCAACTTACTAGACCCGTCTTACTTGCCTTCGGCTTGACTCAGAACAAATGTTACACACTTCTATGGGATATCTAGAAGAGTCGATAATCACATAGTTTGTTTACCAACATTATAAAAAATTTCTTATGGCACCGAAAATCGTACAGAAAGTAGAGAATTATGAAACCTGTTCATTAATATAACATACGTCATCATCAAACAATTGCCGATCGTTCGGCGTTTTTATGAACACACACACATGTTTTTATGAACACAAGAGAAGAATGTAAAATAAAATACATCACAGTAATTAATAAAAACTAAACTACACATACCTTAAAAACGTAAATTAATTAATAAAAATTGAACGAACAATTTGAAACATTACTGAAAGCGAACCCAGTATTTGTAGAAGCTGTTTCATTTGTAGTGACAGTTTTGAGAGATTTCCCTGCATCCGGCGTCTTTTCACCAGATACAATTATGTTGGCGATTCTAATCTTATTACGAATTGACTCCTAATGCACTGTTCAGCGTCATAAACGAAATACTCCGTGGTGTATGAGAGAGGTAATGCCATCTCCATGATCAATCAGCATTGTGCCAAACGTTCTACGAAACGATGACCCCGAGTACTTATCCACGATGGAAATTTTAAGATATTTTGCTACGTCCTTGCATTCTACGTCCTTGCCGATTCACCCGAAGGAAGTTATGTCAATAGGATTAAAGGTGAATTTTCCCTTCGAATAAAATAAAAAAGCTTACTATGTTTGTCATGTTAGGCTATTGTGTCATTGACTCCATTTTCATACGATAGTACATATGAACAAATAACAACTTACAAACAAATATCACATTACAAACAAAACAAAAACAAGAACGTTAGTTAAGCATGTACCTAACGTACCAAGCTAATCAAGTTCCAGTTTCATTAATTATGTAATTCAGTAATAATACAAAAAATAGCGTATGCAACTCTTTTATAATGTACTAGTTTATTTCGTTCGAACAAATATGGAAACTTGTTTTCGCTCTCGTTTTACATAAATGTACTTATGCAATAAATGAAAACATTATAAACTCTTTGCGTAATATACTATTTTCTAATCACTTTCAGTCAATGAGCACGCTGTGAAAAGTTAGATAAAACTCTGTTACTAGTAAAACATCTGCCCCTTATTGATAGGCAACTACGTACGCGCAGCTGTTCGGCAGGCGCAAGAAATCTCCTTGTTTGCATCATAATGTGACTTGTCGAACGTCTTTACATAGAAAGTTTCCTAAGAATCAGTCAACGTTTGCCTGTACAAATACGTTAAAATTATCCTTTACATGTTCATTGACAAACGGTTACCATTTTCGACCCCTCTTCATACCCTACAAGTTTTTATTAACTCGTAACAGGTTTCTGTCTAGTTCCCCAGATCCATTGAACAAATGCAAAGATCGCCCCTTGTTTTACTTCGGGGAGTAAATGTATCTTTGCTATGCACACGTTTTGTTGAATTCTACTCCTACCACTACAAGCAAAAGGAGAGGTAAAGGCGAGTTACTATTTTGTTAAAATTGCAGAAATATCAAATCTGTAGTTCGTTTTATCGTCGCAAATAAGTTTTTTATAACTCGGAAACGAAAATGTCTAGTTTTTAAAATGTTGCTAATCTAGCGCTTTTATTAATCTTATTTTTATTTATTTATTTTTAACTTTTACTCATCTTTTAACTATGTTTAGTAAAAATGATGGGAAGGGATTCTGGAACTCAAGAAAACGTGCGCAAATTTTCTCCCCCATACGTCACATAAAGTTTTTACTGTTTTTTGACAAAATAAATCTAAATCTAAATAGTTATTCCGAGGCACTCTGAAGAGGCCACCTTCACACAGAGTCTCTCGGCAGCACTGCTTAGAAGCGCCGGGTTCCTGCATAGCATCAGTACATTATGGAAAGTAATTTTCTTTCATATTAAATCGCATTCCTCGTGCCTCAAAGTAGACGGAAAGTAAGACGTTTCGGTGCAGTGTACCGTAATGAAATCTCTTACCAACTCATGAACTTGGAAATTTTTGTACCAACGTTACGGATTTTGTTTATTAATACATGGCCAGCGCCAACGATGTGGTTGATTACAGTATTGAGAAGAAACTTGCGATCATTCATGAAAAAATGTATGTAACATGTGATTACTACGTTAGAGAACAAAGTCTGATAAGTGAGCCAACATTACATCCTCCATGTTTATGTTATGTTATTAACCATGTTAATGTTATCTGTATTTTTCTAGAAACAAAATTTTTCATATTCTCTTTACATCTTTCTTCCAATTTCTGAGTTACTAATTGTACAATTGTTTCATTGAATTAATCTATTATCGATTTTCGAAGCAACTCTATTTTTCAATTCCATTCCAAAATGTTCAGGGCACTGCAATTGTTTAACAGATATAATGATTCCAGGAGCTCTGGTGCCATGGGCAATTCTTTATTGGCACTAGTACATCGTGAAATATTGAAATGTGAAATTAATATTAAAGTAAGGAAATGTGACAAAGTATGAAATAAAACATGTTACGACACACGGGTGGAAACCTTACATTACATGTTAGAGATTCCAGTCTCGGCTCCTAACGGCGCCTCAGCTGGAAACATCTCACTCGTAATGTAAACAATTTCCGTCCTTGTGACGTAAATTACTATAGTGCCTTTTCCAATCTAATTGCTAAACAACAGGAACTAACAAATTATTCTTATCAGATTACATAGAGTTCTTGATTCAGTCTTCACTTTCAGTTTAATACCGTAGAGAACAACTTTGACCAGCGTCCAGCCACATAATAATAAGAATAATACTTGTCTTATACAACCATTCCAACTTTCACTAAAAGAAGAAAAAAGGCTTATGCTTCTTCCTGGCTTCCGAATAGGTTGCCATTGTTTCTAGCAGTCAACTGAAGTGTAAAAGCTTGCTCTCTGACAAGTAATAGTTCTTCCGGGCGTAATTAGGTAGTGAACAGAATTAAGAAGGGGGGCGACATAAGGATACTTTGTACTAAATATTTTCCCTTCACTGATCTCAGAGCTGGTGGCTTCTAGCTGGACGGGCATCCCATCTAGGTTTTCAATGCATCCATATCAGAAACAAATGATTCTTGCATCCACACAACAAGAGTTTGAGAAGGGCAAGAAGGTTCGCGATCTGGCGCTAATTCACCTGCACGTCCGAGGGGTGTGTGAGCCCTGAGGCGGGTTGAGGATAAAGTGCAAATCTGGAAGTGCAACCCTGAGATCTAAAAACCCCTGGTGCCAGAACGCGGCGCTTGATGGAGCATTCCGGCACTTTATCTTACACAAAAAAATAAAATAACCTCTAAACTATATGTTTTAGAGGGAATTTTATTTTGTTAATAAGGAAGAACGGTATTTGATTGGAATTGTCATAATGCTTACGTCGAATATTCGTTCTAAAAGGAACTACAAGTGCCTTCTACCCAACTGAAGTATTTTTAGGAAGCTCTTTGGTGTCAACCCACCTTATTAACCATGTGACCGCTGACTTATATGATTATGTGGAGACAAGACTTAAATTGAGCCATAAACGGTACCTTCTTAATCCATTTATACTACATAAGACTATATGTGGTGTCCAAGAAGGAAACAATTAAACTTTGAAAAGAAGCTCTTTAGACAACTTACAGCATGTTTTGTCTAATACACCAAAACCAAAATGTTTTGAATCGGTCGAGAATGTTATGTCAACAACAGCGGCAGAAATAGCAGCATATACTTATGCAAAGAAAATGGGTGACTGCCCAAGGTGTCAAAATATGGAAGAAGCTTTACGAATGCTCGAGAGTTGCTATTCTATTTTGGTCCATTTTCTTTTTGGACCTTTACGCCCAACTGGAAAGTGAATTGGTTAAATGAAATCCATACTGTTTCAGCATATAAGTTGTCTCATAGAAGTGCCGCTTTCGAAAATAATGCGCAGTTTGATAATAGAGAATGGCGGTATTATGCGAAATTCCAACTAGTCGCATTCCCAAACGACACAATATTAATCATGCAAATATGGCTTAATGGAGAACGAATTTATCGAATGGTTATAAGAAATTTTAACGACTTGAAAAGTAACATTTAAAAGTTTTATGGTATCATCTCTGAACTCCTTGTACTATACCGCCAGCGAAGTAACTTTTCAATACGGGATACTTTACTTATGAGTACCGAGTAGGCATTTAATGCATGGGATAACAGTTCCGCAGGATACTCGACTGCCACATAAACGCAATGATGCCTCAGAAACCATACTCAACTTATTTTGAAAATACACTGGGATGAATTTTGAATTGCTATTTGACGTCCCAACTGCTTTTGTTTTGTATGGCCTCTCATACGGTCATAACAATTTCTATTACAATGTTATAAGAATTAGTGTTATTGTGTTTATTGTTGCAATGAAAAATAATAAATAATCTCAATCTCATTTTCATGCTCCATCTGTACTTATAGTCAAGTGTAAGTAGTAGTTGATTAGTGTTTGTGTGTTTCACCATTTACCTGGCACGTTTGTGTATTGTATCATACAAAAGCAATTTCAATTTCATGTTGTGATTGATTGTATCTTAGGACTGGAGAGATAAGTATTGAAAGATAAGATTATCTTTGTAACAACCTTTCCTTATTACATTCAGTTTACAACTATGTATTTTAGCATAAATCTGAGAATGTATCCCTGTGTGTAAATCCTTCACTGTGTAGTGAGTAGTGTTCAGGTGTTTCACTGAACGTAGAAATTTCAACAAATGGTGTTATGTGTTTGGTGTCATAGAAAATTAACAATCTGGTTGTTCGTAAATACCGGAGGCGGTTCTATATTAGGTTCGCCCAACTCCAAAAAACGAATATATATAACTTGAAATAACAACATTGCTATTAATACGATGTTTAAGCGATAACTGTCAAATTTCCCCTAAAATCTTTTTATTAAATACTTACTATTATCATGTACATTCCACCTACAAGATACATGTTCAAAGAAACACTCATCTTTATAAGGATGGCATTTGTAGCACGTGACTTTCCAGACCCTCTTTCTTTTCTTTTGGCAGCATACAGGCGCTCACGCTCACATGTCAGAAAACTGCGTTGGAGCAGCACAATCTTGCACCAACACATAGCCATACTCCGGTTTTCAGCAAAGAAACATTAAATATTTTTTGCGGATTACAATGTGAAATGAGCAATTTTGCGCTCTTATAACGCTGCCAATAGAGAAAAAACGTACGTTAAACTACTAGCTTAAATGAACTAACGATGAAGAAATGTGAGCATCAGAAAAAACTAGAAATATTTAATTTAACAAAACTAAAAAAAATGAGAAATTTCAAATCTAAAGATTGATAGAATTGATAATATCCAGCTCCGAATTTAGGCCGAAATTGAGTAACCCTTAATTTGACGCACCCACCGCCAATGGTAAATACCCATTACACAACCCAAGCACAAAAATTGATTACTGTCTTAAAATAATGCTTGCAGGAAGTCATGAAAGGGGTACAATATGTGTACGACTTCGCCAAATTCCGAAGACCCAGCGAGGTCCCGCCGGGGGAAGGCCCTGGGGAGGAGAGTGACGTGCACACGCCCTTGAATCAACCCCCGCAGGTGCAGATCCACGAGCCCTCGCAGCCCCCTGAAGGTAATAATAATAATAATAATAATAATAATAATAATAATAATAATGATAATGATAATAATATATAATAGTATAATAATAATAATAATAATAATAATAATAATCATATCATAATTAATAATGTAAAGTAGTAGTAGTAGTCTTTATTAATGGCGAGCTCAGGCCATAGGGCTGCTCTTCGCCTAACATGAATTTAATACATTTAGAGAAGTAACATTTTTTAGAGGGGAGGACAAGCTGTACATTAGGTTGGGAGAACAATCTAGGACCAACCGGATACGCCTAAGAGATTGAAGTAAACCCAGAAAAACCTCAATCAGGTATGGGCGGTTTTTAGGGCGAACAATAATAGAACTGAGTATGTTATACTGAGTAGTGAAGAAGTTTCGTGAAAGAGAAAAGAAAAGACGTACAGGGGAAGGGGTCAGAAAGTATAAATGATAAAGTTTGGAAAGTATAAATAATAAAGAAGGTAAGGAAGCAAGCTCGCTTTGCTTCGACGCTAACCCCAGCGATACTAAGAGGGTCAATTTTTTTCACAATTAAAGGAGGACGAAAAAATTTCAGAAAAAAAGTGCAACATAAATAAACGAAACAATTTATTAACTCAAAAGCACACTAATTATGTTTACACCACTTTCAATGACTATATTAAACGTGTATTTTTTCATCGAACGAGTGTTTTTTTTGTCATTATATCATTTTCTAACAATATATTGGAATTTTTGGAGAAAGATCATGTGTGTTCAATAAATATTCACAATAGTTGCTGAGAATAGTTTTACCGAGCTATACTAAGAGGGTCAATTTTTTTACAACTAAAAGGACGAAAAAATTTCAGAAAAAAAGTGCAACATAAATAAACGAAACAATTTATTAACTCAAAAACACACTAATTATGTTTACACCCCTTTCAATGACTATATTAAACGTGTATTTTTTCATCGAACGAGTGTTTTTTGTCATTATATCATTTTCTAACAATATATTGGAATTTTTGGAGCAAGATCATGCGTGTTCAGTAAATACTCACAACAATAGTTGCTGAGAATAGTTTGCGAAAACGCCAAGAATAAAAAATTATTCACAACAATGATTATTGTGAAAAATTATTTTGGGAGTATATCTGTATACGCAAAAGATATAAGATATACTGCCGATGCAAACGTTTCACAGCAAAGAAAGTAATTAATAGTTTTTGAAAAATTTTCCTGTTAAAAATTTATTTTTTTAGAACATATTTTTTGTAACAAAATTAATATTGAAAAAAATTAAAATTTCGAAAAGGAAGACTGGTAGGAGGACACTTTTGGAGAAAGGACAGAACGTACAAAAGAAGGACTGTCCTCCCTAAAGGAGGACGATTGGTCACCTTAACAATACAAGAGTATAAATAGTAACGTCTAATCCTATGGAGGAGGGAAGCTCATCAAGCCCACTCGTAAATTGTAAAAAAAAGTGTGTATGTTCGTATCAATCATCGTTACTGAACACTTAAAAATTCACATTCCTTCAAGAAATCCACTTTTAATCTCAATCTGATACATACTCTAATTCAAAAGCATCCTTCTACATGCGCTGTTGATCTCCTCCATACGTCACATACAGTTTTTACTGTTTTTTCACTAAATTAATCTAATACTATTTCCTATTCAGCCAAACTGTGACGTTGCCAACGCAACCAAACAAAATTTTACAACGGAGATGAAAGGGGGAAGAAATACCTCTAAAAGCATTATGGAAAAAATTACGTCTTTTACGAAGGGACGGTTTATCTTCTGCCAAGTGCGAATGCAAACTCGCACTAAAAAAACGCAATTATAAAACTAGTGTTGCTAAAACAACACATAATTTCTGGCCCCTTTAGTAACGGTTATGTAATATTATTACACCCCAATGTCAATAAGTACTGACAAGAAAGCGCACATGCAGCAATGGGCCAACACCACCTAGATATCTACGTATCTAGGTGGTGTTGAATGGGCACGGCCAACAATGGGCACGTTTTTTCTTATCAATTATTGCCAAAAGCGCCATTTTGCCCTAATAGAACGGTTTTCAGTTTGCATTGCTGTGGTTTTATGAAAGTTCTTCTAATGTGTTCTTTATGGAACACTATTGCTTGTTTTGAATACGTACAATTATTTTTCGACATGTCTCCAAGATATTTTAAGTTCATATGTTTCATTTCCCACTAAATAAAGACAACGCAGCGGGCATTTAAAATTGTCACAAATTTACACAAAAAATACACGTATTTTCAAAAAATTGAACGTGATCTTATTTGAAGATGCATTTTTGATAAGCACATTTCATTAAGAATTAAATTGTATTTTTACAATTGTACTTATAAGAAGATGCCGAAAACGAATTTGAGTAAATTCGAGCGGGCTTTTATATTTGTCGCGAAATTTCACAAAAATTCTGAAGGCTCATTCGCAACGCACACATAAACATAAATATGGCGTTAACATAAAAGTTAGGACTACGTCCATTAGCGGACTCATTCACAATGCGTTCGCATAAGACGCACACGTAAGACGTAAGCTTACAAGCTTGCAAGCTTCAAGCTTCTGTGCTTATGCTTACGTAAGACATTAGAAAGGAATGACAATCACAGAATGGTAACTCAAAATCGAGAATCGAAATTGGAACGAAGTCGATGGAAGAACTAACGCCATATGGGACATAGACACAGTCGATATCTTGAAATCGATTATCACATCCAACCAGAAAGTCTCACAGACAATAGAAACTTATTTTGCTTACGTTTATGTTAGGCATTGTAAATACTTCAGTATATCGCTAATGTTAATGTTTATGGCTATGCGGTATGCTTATGTTTACCTTTGCATTGTGAATGGGCCTTAATATTTTCAAAAAATTCAACATTATCTTATTTGAAGATCTGCTTCCTTTGTTTCATAAAGAAAAAATGTATCTTCACAATTATAATTGCAGGAAGACGCCGAAACATTTTTTTTACGCAAAATCTCGCATTTGAATGAACATGAGACTTGCGCCATTCTCTTAAGTGTTATATATGCTATTTAAATGCTCAATTTAATTTAAAAAAACATTGTGCTATTTTGTTTAGCACTAGTTTAATTTTGTATAAACAATTTTTTCTCAAAAACTGCTCAATCTTTTTTTATGAAATTTTCTTGGCCTGGCGGACGTTTAAGAGTATGGTGCAGGTATCATGTTAATTCAAAATCCCAATTTTTCGAAATTAAAAAAGAATTAAATTTTATATATATATAATATATATATATATATATAATATTATATAATATATATATATATATATATATATATATATATATATATAATATACTTTTATGTTTGCAATATCCCCCTGATACAGCCGATTTGTCAAAATTAAATTTGGTGTCTGAAATTCTGTATCAATTTTCGTCAAAGCCCACTGGTGCAACTTCATGGATTCCAGTAAGGAAGGACAGTTTAGAAAAACGTAATATATGGCAAAGGTTCTAATGAACATCAATATATAATATGGTTCATCAGTTACAGTTAAGAAAGGTGAATTGATTGATTTGGCAATGGCCAATCCCTGGTCTTCAACCTAGACAGTATTTTTAAGAAGAATTGTAGTTCAATTCACAAATGTGTTCTAGCCACAAAATTCAATATCATTAAACATTTCTTTAAAATACACTACATTTGATACAATAATAAAATTATCATTTTGTGGATTAATTATTTCTTTATTAATATTCACTGTACGCAATGTTTATTTTCAAAACATCTGATAAAATTCTGGGATTCATGAGCTGACGCAGGTAGTACAGGCTAAGAAATCACTAGTGTGAGTGATCATCAATTGGCAAAATTGGTTCATTTGTGTGAATGTGTGTACTTTTCATAATGGCAAAAACTAATGTGAAAAAAGTTACTGTAATGCAAAAATTGTTATAATTATTCTCAACTTTTTTTGCAAATTTCAAATTTTCAATGAGTAAAAATGATTGCAAAATTATGTTCAGTCATGGCAATCTTACTCACTGATCTTAAAACTTTCAATTTGTAGATTAATCAAATAATTAAGAGTTTGGGTCACCAAATGAAAAGAGTAAAATCGTCACTACAAATTCAAATCCTTATCTTTATGAAAATTAAATATTAACATACCGTTCCCAAAACATGATAAATTGTTTGAAATTAGCCGCATTTGTTAAATGTCATCCAGTTATAATTTAAAGGCAGATACTAGCTACAATTTAAGAATGTCACATCAATTACAGAGCACCATTTCATAACTGCATTTTATTATTTTTTTCTATAAATTGTATAACTTACTATTGCTATAATATTGTACAATATTTATTTTATTTAAATTGTATAGTTGTTGTTTAAAAAACCTAATTCTAATGCATATTTTTTTGGAATGCATAGGTGTACAGCAGACTATACCTCTTGATGGCAGAGAACCCTCAACACCAGTTCCAAGTGTATACGAGGTGGATGACGAATTCAATCTGCCAATTTCTATTGCTATCACCATCCTGCTCACATACATATTTGTGGGTGCTGCTGTTTACTACATTTGGGAAGACTGGGGATTTTTTGAATCATTTTATTTTGTCTTCATATCAATGTCAACTATTGGATTTGGAGATTTTGTTCCAAAGGTGAGTTTTAAAATAACTAATTCTTGTACTATAAATTTTTAAATAATTTACATTTTTATGAATTTACTTATTGAATTTATACCCAGAATATATACACAAGAGCTTTTAGAAATGTTCAGTTCAATTCAACAAGTTTTACAATATAGAAGTTTAGATATGAAATGTTTAACAAGGTACATCACATACATAAATAGGAAAAAGCTTGATTTATTTTGCTAAAAAATTGTATTGTATTGTACATAAAATGTATGGTTAAGTTATCAATTACATAGTTTTAAACAATTTTCATTATTTAGACTATATTTCATAATGACATTCATAAGGTACCTTAAAATTCAAATCATTTCTTAACATGTATTTAATACATTAACAAACATTTCCTCATTTTTCATGCCACTTCTGTTATTGTAGTCTAACAGTGTAAGTAAATAACTTGTTGTAATGTGTTTTCCTTCACAAATACATTGCCATACCACAGTGTTGTACACTGCAAATGCAGCTTAGCACGTGTGATGTTACGTAGATGCATGATATGTGTAACATTACACCCCACTATTGACTCTTATTCAGGGGTCCTTGGTACATTGTGAGAGTGTTGCATGATTTCAAAGTAATACCCTTTTTTCATGGATGTGTGACTGTAGATTGTTAAGTGAAATTTTGATGTGTTGCAACTATATGTATTTTGGCACAGAGAGAGCCCTATATGTTTCAATGTGATACTATGTCTATGTTGTATACAATGTAGGGTTCATATCTCTACAAGGGCTCTCCTATTGAACAAACAATGGAATACCAAGATCACTTAACTCATAAACTACAATCCCATTTGTAGGCTTTTCTTTTCACTACATTTTGTTTTATCATTGCATTTTTATTATGATTTCATTCAAATTCACAGTCATTCTTTATTTTATCCCTTCATTTAATTCTTGTGCTTGTAAGAGATAAAAAGGCATCCAATAGAGGCTAATTGATTGATTTGGAAATTTCAGAAATCATGTTAAAATAATTTAAATGAACAAGGTCCCCCTCCTACAGTTTTATCACATTAAAATTAATTTTATTACATAGATTCTCAATCAATACTGAATATCACGAACTACAAAAAACTCATGACGTGAATCAACACAACCCAAAACTGTGGTAACTTCGCATTACCAAAGTAGGTATTCAATTTGAAAACAATGAAATGTTAAAACAATCATATCAGCTCTCAAACAATTCTAATTTCTAAATGGGATGATTTTTAGCATTTTGATTTAATATATTACAAAGAAGAACCTTATTTGCCCCTCGTAAATGCAAAGTGTCTGGGGAAAACTACTTTCAGTTATATGAGTAGCTTTCATACCTTTTCAAAACAAAATTTAAAATCACCCAAAATATTTTATCTAATTTAGTGCTCAAAATTATTATCTTTAATACAACTTTCAATTCAAAGTTTGAAATTTCAAAAACGTGGTTAAATTATCTTAAATGTTCTCATTTCCAATTGAATGTTTTACACTAGTGAAGCAAATTTTACACAAATTTGATGTTATTTTTCCTTCGGTAAGTACATTTTTAGGTTTTTCTCCTTCTTAAAGAATAATATATGTTTTTTTTCTAATTGTATCTTGTCAAAATTTTATCAGAGCTATCAAAATATTTCAGGTGATTCTACTCCTAAAATTTCTTTATTTTCTTTAATAGTTATTAATAAAATAATTTCTGAAGATAATCACTACACATTAAACGAAATACTTTGCGTTAATGCTCGTAATTGACCAGTATCTGGTAAGTAATGCAAGTACCAGATTTAGTAGTTAGGACTTAGAAACAAAAACCTACACACGAGTACCAGTCAATTAAAATAAATAGGTAATTCACATTTTTACATAATAGCCAATTGTACAACTGAAACAAATTTACTACCTAGGCCTATTAAAGAAGCTCTCTTATTGATAATTGTTTTCAAATTCCAAGGCATCTTTGAAGTAACAGTTTTTTTGAGAAATTTTCTTTCAACTTATCTCCAACACTGTGGGGATGAGTGTCATACACATTTTCTTATAATGGTCTATGTCCAAGAAAATTTTAAAATACTCCGTGTATGTGTAGGACAAAATACATAAATACATTCAATATAACATTAATGCTATATAAATATGTAATGAGAGTTGATAATAAATTTAAATACTAGGTTAAATTCATAGGAATTTCAAAATAACATCTAGCCCAACCCTCATTGTAAATAACTGATTTTCTATTATAATTTGTGTGTAGCATGTCTACTTCCAATAATTCATTTATAATTACAAAATTTTTTGTGGTCCTTGTCAACAGTTTTGCTACACCCCTAGGAAGTCACAATTAAAAAGCCCTGCTATAGGAGATTCCTAGGATCTTAAACCAAACACTGATGTACAGGTCCTTCAAGATGACCTGTCTTTCAAAGTAGAATCAAATAAAACTAGTACCAGAATTTTAAACTTTTTTACTAATTCATTATCAAAGAATCAATTTATTTATCGTTCATCCTTTTCAAGAAAAAAAGTGTTAACTCTTGTTATCGAACCGACTTAGCCACTATCAATTAATCAAATTGTACCACAATGTTTAATTCAGTGGCATGACTCTCTTACTTAGAAAAACAGTGTTTTAAGCTATGGGGTGAATAAGTGTGATTATCCTTGGGTTCGTAGATAATTCTGGCTGTATATATTGTTTTAGTTCATATGCATGAGAAAGTTGATGTTCATCAAGTTTTGAACTTAGCGCGCGCTGGGTAAAACAACACGAAATTGCTCTGAGGAGCCCCTTTGAGACTCTTTATTTCTGATGTTAGACTTTTCTTTCCAATATTATAGCTCAACGTGTCACAGCTGTCACAATATGAATATAGTGCTTTAAAATTGAAAGGAAAGAGAGGTTTCCAACACATCCATGAACGCTACGCCCATGAATATTACAATGGAATAAGTTTAAGAACTCCATCACAAGATGAATTTTTATCATTTTTTTCAATGAAATTCCTTTCCGCCTTAATGTCAAAATCTTTCCAGTAATTGTCCAAAGTGACAAGATTGTTGTCCCTATGAGTATATTACAAAACGGAGCCATCACTAAAATGGTGTAAGTTATTGGATGAGAAAGCACAGCTATTGGGTGTTACTCTCCTATGGCGATGGAGTTGCTAGGTCAAGTTCTTGAACTGAAAGTGACAACGTAAGTGGCAATATCATAAACCAATGCAAAATATCAGATTCAATACAAACAGCATAAAATGGGGAAACTCTGTACGTTAATTATAAACTCTTGGCCAATTTTGTCTCTAACTTGAGGCGTTTTATACCAGCATTGACAAATAAATACACTTTTCTAGGGGTTTCCGTATGCACTCTTTCTAATTAGATCCTTTCATTAAAGTTACAGACTGAAGTCTAGCATACGGTACAACTTACGAAAGTCTTTTTAAACCGTCACTTCGCGCCGCTCCAGCGGTAACTGCGTAGTTTGAATTCTGTAGGCTTTCTTGAAAAACGCTTTCTTATGAATGTGAATTGGTAATTATGCGGTGGATAGACTCAAAGATGTTTATAGTGAACGCGGGGACCGAAGGCTCAAGCCACGCCGTGACGAGGATCCGGGCGAGCGAGGAAACCTTGCCTTTGAAAGTAAATTGGCATTACAATGCGGTGAGGACAAAGGTATGAAGGGCGAGCCATGAAAATAGCCTATCCGTAACCTTTATTCATTTCTATCAGAGCACGTAGCGTACGTTGAGGGAGAGCTTAAGGAGACCCCTCTCCCCTCCCGCCACGCTTCTCTGAGGGTGTACCGTGTACTCTACTATAACCAAAGTACATTTCTGTAAAAGTGGGTTGAAAGTACCAGCATTATTTTGGGGCTTTTTGTAAAAGTCATCAACACTTAATTTTTAAATTGAAGGTAAGAACTAGGAAGTCAAAATTATAACTTAGAAAACATTTGCATGTTGAGATATTATATGTAAATTTAAAATCCTACTTGGATATTGTATAAGTGTACAACATTAGACAAAACCTTAAACTTTATTTAAACCTAAAACATTAAAACTCGGGATTTAACAAAATTTTAAAAATTAAAGAACTTCGCCGCAGTGGCGTCCGACCCAAGTTGCTGTCAGCAGATTGAACCTGGACGTCCATCTTCCTCGTCTTTCTTTCTCCCAGCGTTTAATAGTGAGGGCTCTGACTTCTCTGCTGGCTCGTCGGCTTCCCGGTTTTATAATCGTCAGTAGATGAGTTTGTGCAACGAGGTAGGTGGGTGTGACTTCATCCTTCACCAGTACTCCTGGTTCGGAAACAGCAAGCAATTGCCCCTTTCCTCTGTTCACCCAATCGTCGTTTGATATTATTCCCTTGCGTGCGCATCTGCCCAACTCTCTGGTTCGTACAACATGCTGAAGAGAATGACGGAGATGAGTAGTTATCGTTTGTTTGATCTCGGTCCTCCGAGATTTTCCTCGAGCTTGCTCAGATGTTCGGTCGCTTGTGAAGCTCCATCTGCCCCCGGCTTAGTACGTGTTCACTAATAGAGAGGGTCTGTCTGTTGGATAGGTTTCCCAGACGTAGTTTCGTAACTTCTCGAGTAGCTTCATGTCGAACTTATAGAGAGGTCTATAGGACGATACGGCCTTTACCCTTGTCAACGAGAACCAGTTGCCAAACCATTTCTTCCATCGCTTACAGGAAGGGGTGTCTGGTCACCCTCTCTACTAAATAACTTCTCTTAGGCTTCGATGCCCCCACCGGTGCCCTGGCGTTGAAATCGCTGGCAACCAGGGTGATTTTGTGTACGTCTCTTATCACATCTCCGATCCTGCCACTTTTCCTGCGGAAATCCCTTCGTTGAGGGTAGTTATCTGTAAGCTTCTGCAAAAGTGAATACCTCACTTTTTATCCAGACTAAGTGTATTCTGGATCTGTGCTTTTCTCTCGGGCCTTTAACAGTGTCAGTGTTCCATACTGCCAACA